CATCAAGCACCGTCAGTAAATTTAGTTTCTTTCCACAAAAAAAAGAATTGCTATACGTTAACCGTGTGTTTTAGCCGCTTTTCACACATGGTTTTTCTGGCCGTCGCTTTTCACAGATTCGTATCGCGTCTGTCGCTTCTTGTAGAGGCATTTACCTGTGTGACATTAAAAAAGTTTGTAATTATACACAAGCCATTAAAAAAGTTGACCGCACACAAGTGTCATTGCTCTAAATTTTTTTGCCTTACAAGCCATTCCGTCCAAATGTAGCACTAACTGTGGCTAATGGATGGGGGAAAAGATAAACATGCCCTCAGGAAGAAGAGGCTATCTGATGGTCTAGAAATATAAAATTCTTAGATTATTCATTCACCAACATGCAAAATATTACAGCTCTATTACATCAACATTTTATACCATCCAAATGATTTCATACCACAAAATCCAAGGTGTTCTCTAGGAGTACAGCACCAATGCATCATCAAAACAACATGCTAGAGTCATCTTTGTTCATTCCAGCAGCAGTTGCTTCTTACTTCTGGTATTTTTAGCTGAGCTGGAAGGGTCAGCTGGAGCATTGTTGCTTGTTCCCCTAGCTGGAGTGGCAGACACATCTTTTCTTGGTGTAAGCTTCTTCTTCAATCCAATCTTCCTCCTTGGTGTATGAACTGTAGCAGTTGAAGCTTCCTAGGGCTCATGATGAACTGCAGTATCTTCAAAATAAGGGGCAAGGTGCACAACTTGAATAGGAATTGGTTCATTGGATCCAGTTTCAGATCTTGTGGTATATGAAACATGAAATTTAGTGTGGGATGTTGGCATTGCAAAAAAATAGAAAGAAATAGAGAAGTGACATACCTGCTAGAGAAAGGAGTAGTAGTAGAGACTGAAGTACTTGTTGCTGCTCCCTTAGATTTAGAGACAGATGATGAAGAAGAGGATTTTCTCTTTCTTTTCTTATGCACAACATTCTCCACTGCCTCATTGGGAGGGAATATCATCCCTGTGGCCACAACAATGCTTGTCTCTGTGTTAGCTTAAGCTACTTTTTCTGCCTCTTCTTTGGCAGACCCCTACAGGTGAAATTTTAGTTATGTTAGATTATTTAATGCAGTTCATATCATATATGAATAAATATAACTGAGAGAAGTTCACCTGTCAGCCTCCATTGCAGCTATGTCTGCTGGACTCCCATTCTTGTAGGTGTACCGGTGGTGCCCTAACTCATGGCATATTGGACACTCATGTCTCTTTGATTTCTTCCTGCTACATCCTTCAACTGCCTCTTTGTACCTGTTCTTTCTTCTACCAGCTGTGGACTTAAGCAAGGGAGGATGCATGAAGAATCCATGTGTGGCATCAGGCCACATAGACTTGTCAGGAATGGATGGGATGGCACCTTCATATGCAGCTTTGAATTTGGCCACAGAATAGCATTCATCCACATGGTCTTCTAGCTTTTCACCAGGTATAGATGTTATGTAGGCAATTGCATGCTTGCATGGTATTTCTGACCCTTGCCAAGCCCTGCAGGAACATGTACTATTTCTTAAGTCCACAACAAATCTGAATCCATTCCCCCCCTTAGCACAAACTTCAGTAACTCCATCATGTTCTGTGATGACCTCAATGTCTACGTTGAAGCTGCCTTTCCTCAGCTGCTGCATAACATGAGGTAGAATCTTTCCCACAAACTTTTTGACCACCTTTTTTCTAGTATTCCATTTAATCAACAACTTCTGCCTTATGGTATCAAATCATCAATGTGCTTGGCCTTTTCTGCCTTTATCCAGTTATTGAAGGACTCAGCCAAATTATTGGTTACATAATCCACCTTGAAATCTGTGCCAAACTAACTTCTGATCCATAGCTTCTTGTGATTCTGTTGCAGGTACTTCATTGCCTCAAGTTTGGCTGTAGCCATGGCCTGGAAGTGTTTCTCAAACATGTATTTGCTCTAAGAGTAGGCAGATGCCCACAGGTGATCATAAAATTTTTTACCACTGAACCTTTTTTTAAAATTTTGAACTAAATTTGGAGGTGGTGGATGTTGAGGACCAAGGTCTATATACATTGAGGACCAAGGTCTATATATAACCCTTCCTCATCAACACCCACATGCTCATTGGATGGGTTTGGGTTAGCCAGGTATTCATCATCTGTAGTTTCACTCTGGGTATGGCTTGGTTGTGCAATGCTAGGACAAGGCAGTGAAGGGGTTCTCAACAGACTGCCAAGAACTGCTAAAATCCCAAGGAGAAATTTCAGGAGGCTCAGTACTAGGGCTGTGGTAACCAAAAGTCAGGAAGCAGCACTTGAAAGCATTATATTTTACAAACATGTTAAGCAAATCTTGGTCGGTGCAAACTTGGATGTTCATCTGTCTCTCAATGCAGAAGTAAAACAATCTCACAACATCCCCATAATCAGAAGGATACTTATTCTCAACTTCAACAACCAGATCTACGAAGTTGGTACGATCAGCATCGATGACTTTGTTCAAGCTAAACCACCGAGCACGAGTATGGCGAGCAATTATCCAGATGTCTAGGTTGTAGCTACTAGCAGGGTCCATCCTACAGATGAACAACATCGAGTTCACATGCATCTATCTAAAATCACACTACATCAACCACGACTATTACACCTAACTGACCACAATCACAAGGACCAAGCAATCAAAGCAAAAAACCCCCTAAAAATGGTACTCACCCGTTAGGAAGCCAAGGAGGTCGGTCGCCCGCGCACCCCCTTGTTCATGGCCATGCGCCGCCAATCCGGAGGATCCATGGTCTCTTCTTTCAGGCCTCCTCTTCCTTGCTCCACTACCCCATTCCACACCGCAAGCACGGAGGATTGGGGGGTTCTTCTCTTCGCGCCACAGCCGCAAGCAGGGTTGGATTGTCTTCTTCTCTCCCCGCCGACGCCGCTAGGGTGTGGGGAAAGAGGACTCGAGCGAGATGGGGAGAGTGAGGGACTGAGGTGGCTGTCAATCGTAGTCAACACGGTCTCCACCACTCAAGAGCAATATGGAGAATTTCACTGGCCGGTCCCACCTGTAAGGGCTACCAAACACGCGAAAAACAAACAGATCAAGGATAGAATGGCTTGTAGGGCAAAGAAGTTTAGAGCAGTGGCACCTGTGTGCGGTCAACTTTTTTAATGGCTTATGTGTAATTACAAACTTTTTTAATGGCACATAGGTAAATGCCTCCTTGTATCCGGTCGGGGCTCAGGGGCATGCTCAGGGTCCCCTCCTCCACGTCGTCGCGGAAGCTCGAGGTGCGCGCTTCGCAGCCGCCCACGCCGGCGAGCTCTGCTTCCTCGACACAGCCGCCTCGTCCCGACTCGATGACGCTGGCCCGGCAAGCAAGCGTCGTTCAGCACACAGCCCGCCCAGCCGCCCCTAGGTCGGCCCGTTGTTCCCGAACTGCCCATCATCGCTAGCCCCTAGGCCAAGCGGCCCAATGGCAAGCTTCACCAAACAGTAAGGCCTGTGTGGCTCATGGAAGGGAAGGGAGAAGGTTGGGGAGGGTGGGTCCACCGTAATTTGTGAGCAATTTGAAAAAATTTCTGCAATTTGTTTACAATTTGTAGTTTGTTTACAATTTATGAATAATTTGACATATATATCTATGATATCAACGATCATAGAAATAATTTGTAAATTTTTTCTAAGAAATTTGGCATATATTTTTCTAAGATATACAATCTCCCCAAATTACATCACTGTCCAATAAATTACATTGAACAAATCAATGTAAATATAGTAATAAGTCAGTGTAAATATAGTTAAAAGACAATGTAAATTCATGGGAAAAAAATCAGATGTTAGGAGCTTTCAGTTGTTGGCTAGACAGACAAAAAAAAAAAAGGTAAATTTGGTTCCTCCTTGATTTCCATGGATGTGGTCGGAGTGCCGACCAGTCGAACCCTATAGCCCCACGCCATCCTCTCAAATCTTCAAAAGAAAAAAAGGAAACAGAAAAAAAAAACTTGTAGCATCGCAAACGCCTACGCGGCCGCATGCATGCTCCCGACGCGGCCGATTGGGCATTTGGGCGAACGGTTGTTTCGGCAAGGAAGCCGCGCCTACGCCCGCCCGCTCTCGCGCCTCTCCTCCTCCGCCGCCGTGAACCTCAACCAGCCGCCGCGCCGGCGACTGACCATCAGGCCATATCCTGCCGTCGCGCACTCCTGCGCCGTGCGATCCACGATACCAAGGTATTAATCCAATCGCCCCACGATGCTCTGACGATCTCCGTCCGTCAATGCCGGTCCCATCTCGTGTGCGCGCGTTCTCGGCTTCGATGGGATTGTTTAGGGATGTGCAGAATCGGCTGGAATTTGACGTGGAGGTGGTGCATTTGTTGTCCGCCGGTCTAAATTTATGATTCGTTCGCCATTTTGTTCAAGCATTAAAGCTCGGATTTGGTTGCTTTTCTGTGCATTTCAGTTGTTATAAGTTATCAAGCCAAATCAGAGTCGAGGGAATTAATTAGCATTCTTTTCATCTGCATTTGAGGTGTTGCATTTGCTAAGAATTGGGCATTTGCATCTTGTTTTCATCAAAAAAGGAAAAGAAAAAAAGAAAAAAAAAGGAAATTCGGTTTCAAGTTTGCAATTTGTGTGTTCCTTGGTAACCGAAGGTACCTGGGAGAGGGGTGGCATCGCTACATGCAGTCTATCATAGTAAGCTGCCTAGTCTGATCGGCAGCAACTCAGCATCATACTTGGTTTGCTTGATTATATAGACTTATTAGTTGTTGGTTTCAGGTATCAGCACAGACTCTAGCATCAGACTTATTTGGCTATACACTTGTTAGCTGGTTTTCATCAGAGAAGTCAGGGATTATCAGAGTCAAAGGCAACGAGATTCTACTACCATATCAATGCAAGTGAATGATAGACTCTTTAAAGGCATGCCTGGATCATCTATTGTGAATTTGCAGTTCTTTCATGGGTGGATGGTCAGGATTCCAAACTGGTAGAGGCGCGGGATGGAATTTTCTGCCCTTCTGACTTCGGCGGGGATAAACATCGCTGTCTGTGTGCTCTTCTTGTCCCTCTATTCAGTCCTCAGGAAGCAGCCTCACAACTTCAGCGTCTACTTTGGGAGGCGGCTTGCTGAAGAGAAGTTCCAGAGGCAGGACGATTACTTCTCATTTGAGAGGCTACTGCCTACTGCTGGTTGGATTGTAAAGGCATACTGGTGTACCGAAGAAGAGATTCGCCAAGTTGCTGGCTTGGACTCTGTTGTGTTCCTTCGCCTCTTCATTTTCAGGTTTTTCTCATCAATATTAATGCATTGAGCCCTGCTTGCAACTCTAATGGTTCGAATCACTTGAATGGTAACTCATAAATGCATTAAATGATTTAAATCCATGGTTGTACTCGAGTCATACTCAAATTGGCTGTACACAAAACATTTCCCTAATTTAATATCACAAATATGTGGTACTACTTGATCAACGATTTCTGCTTACTTTCAACATTTTTTGATCTTTCCTGTATGTCGAATGCACATGGATATCATTTACCATCTTGATACTTGTTTCTTTCGGAAACTTACATGAGTATGTTCTTTTTCTGCAGCATCCGTATCTTCTCAATTACTTCTCTTGTTTGTATATTTGTTGTGCTTCCTGTTAATTATCATGGGAAAGAGATGACTCACAATCATATTCCGGCAGACTCATTGAATGTTTTTACTATAGCCAATATCATCGAAGAATCTCGAAAGTAAGATCTGCATCTTCATTCCATTTACTTGATAACGCACTTTTAGCCTATACTCTGTGGTTATAATGTTTTAAAGATGGTAACATAAGTAAGGTTATATAAATATTTGAAAGATTATGTCACTGCATCAAATATAAAGGGGAAAAGACTTGACAAGTGACCATTGACAAATCTTTGGAAGAAGAGAAAAAAAAATCAATCATGGTCCTTGGCCTTGGGTGAAGAATGAATAATATTTGGCCCTGTTATTTTGTTTTTGCTTCTCTGGGCCAAACCATACTAACTATTCAGCAGTATGTTGTATTATGAGGTTTCTTACTTTCCTTTCTCATGTAAAACTGTGTGTTTTATTAAAGCTACTGGGAATCTGTGTATGTTGTATGGCTGAAGTAAAACCTAACACATCTCCCAAATTGGACGAGTAACTGAATTGCAAGTTGGAATTATCATATATATCATTCTTTAATACTTTCATCATAGCAAGCTAATGACATTCCTATTGTTTATTGTTGTGATATATTATCATTTCATGCAATTAGGCCCTCCAATTATTTTGATGAGACTTCTGGTTCTTTGTGGATTTTTTTTTTGTGCAGGCTTTGGGTGCACTGCTCTGCTTTATATGTCATAACAATCTCAGCTTGTATTCTTCTTTACCATGTATGATCTGTACGCAATGCTCTTGTACTAATGGTTTTACCTTAAAGTTCCTCTGTGTTATAAACATCAGTGCAGTTGATTTTAGAAAGTCATCACGTTACAGGAGTACAAGTATATTTCGAGGAAGAGATTAGCACATGTTACTGGATCTCCTCCAAATCCTGGCCATTTTACTGTACTTGCCCGTTCAATTCCGAGGTCAGACAATGAGCTGCTTGATGACACAATCAGAAATTTCTTTGTTAACTATCACGGATCAAGTTATTTGTCACATCAAATGATCTTTCGCAAAGGACATTTTCAGAAGTTTGTGGTAAGAATTCATTTCAGTGTCAAAGATTAATTTTATTGGAAATCAATTTTTCTAAAAAAAAATATACTCGTAGAAGAACATGAAGCCTTTATGACATTCATTTCTTCAGAAAATTTGCATGATACTTGTTTATACTTAAGAGCCAGTTAAGTTCAATTCTTTAGTTTTATTTTAGGCTCATGGAAAATGCCAATGAACTATGTTAAACATGTATTCAGGCTGACCTTATACTCCTTGCATAACAACGCAGCCTATATTGGGATTATTTGCTCAGGAAGGCTAGTTTCTTTCTGTAGGATAGAGCAGAGAGGGCTTATAGGAAATTTGTAAGGGTAAGACTCTCCGTATCTGAGCGGAATGGAAGATCTAACATGTCCAGATGTGGTGTTTGTGGTGTAAGAGCTTCCTCATTTCAGCTTTACCGCAGCAAGTTCATCGAGGCCAAGAAGGCAGACCTCACTAATCCGGAAGTAGTGGAAGCTCAAAAGGTTTTCTTGTACCTTGTAATTTCATATAATGATATTTTTTTCACAAGCACGCCAGTAGTCCTGTTATTGTCGCAGAATGTCATAGCAAAGTATCACATATGATTTCTGTGCATCAGCATGAATCCTGTTTTGCCACTGAACAGAACTGTCCCGGTGCCTTAGTGTTCTTCAAGACTCGCTACGCAGCTGTCGTCGCTTCTCGTGTACTCCAATCATCAAATCCTATGTTATGGGTAACAGATTTGGCTCCTGAGCCACGCGATGTATATTGGTCAAATCTCTGGATCCCCTACAGACAGATCTGGCTTCGGAAGCTAGCGACACTCGCAGCTAGTGTTGTTTTCATGTTTGTGTTCATCATCCCCGTCGCATTTGTCCAAAGCATGATGCAAGTGGAGCAGCTCAAAAGGATGTTTCCAAGCTTGACAGGTATCCTAAATAAGTAAGTTCGAAAGACACCGTTTTAGCTGCTGTTCAAATTTGAGGTTTGCACTTTGCAGTGACTGAGATCCTGCCTGATCTTCTTACTTAGGTCCTTCTTCGCCAGAGTGATAACAGGATACCTTCCTAGCGTTACTTTGCTGCTGTCCCTGTACACCGTTCCTCCATTGATGATGCTCTTCTCTTCTATAGAAGGGTCTATTTCTCGCAGCGGAAGGAAAAGAAGCGCATGCTTGAAAATTCTCTTCTTTAACATCTGGAATGTCTTCTTTGTGAATGTCCTGTCAGGATCCGTACTCAACCAGCTCAGTGTCTTCTCCAGACCAAAGGACATGCCGACTATGCTAGCTGAACTAGTGCCAAAGCAGGTGATGGTTGTTTACCACTAAACTGCTGGCATCTCCATCTTATTTTATGCTATTATAATAAAAACGCTGGTGCATTCTGTACGTGCTGTTCATGCTCCTCTAGAAATTGACTCCTGAGTCCTGACTGGGTGTTGTTTCGGCAGGCAACCTTTTTCATCACGTATGTGCTCACCTCAGGCTGGGCAAGTCTGTGCTCGGAGATATTGCAAGTGTACAACTTGGTCTACAACTTCTTCAGCAGATTTATATGTTGCTGCCATCAGAATACCGAATACGTCTACTCTTTCCCGTACCACACCGAAGTGCCGAAAATCCTCCTGTTCAACCTGCTTGGCTTCACGTTTTCGATCATGGCGCCTCTCATACTGCCCTTTTTGCTCGTATACTTCTGCCTCGGCTACTTGGTATATCGGAACCAGGTGAGCACATTTTAGAGAGTATTTATATACCATATGGTTAACCTTTTTTTCTTGAAATTACTCTCTGTGTAAGTGTAATATGATACTAATACCGGAAGATTCACTCGTTCATATTTATTTGACCTTGACTTGATGAGTTTGTTGTCCTGCAGATTCTGAACGTGTACTACCCAAAGTACGAAATGGGGGGCAAGCTGTGGCCGATCATGCACAACACCATAGTGTTCTCCCTGGTCCTGACGCAGGTGATCGCGATCGGCGTCTTCACCATCAAGCACTCCCCTGTGGCAGGAGGCTTCACCATCCTGCTCCTCGTCGGCACCGTCCTCTTCAACGAGTACTGCAGGCACCGCTTCTCCCGCATCTTCGACGCCTACTCCGCTCAGGTCAGTCGTCACTCGTCAGTGGCTCAGTGCAGTAAGTGAACAACGTGTGTTTGTTGCTTCTCAAAAAAAAGGGAGCATTCATTTTTGTTCTTGTGTTGGCTGGCACCCGGTGGCAGGACGTGATCGAGCTGGACAGGGACGACGAGCAGTCCGGGAGGATGCAGGAGATCCACCAGCATCTCCTGGACGCCTACAGCCAGACCCCGCCGGGGGAGGGATCCTCCAGGGGCGGCAGCCAGGTGCCCATCGAGCTCATCATGGAGGACCCCGCGCAGGAGGCGTCGGAGTCCAGCCAGGAGCTCTGTGACACCGTGCAGGAGGTGTCCGAGGCCCACGACCACGACCACATCGTCGAGGACAAGGCGCATTCCGTGTAGATTAGTTAGATGATTTGGACAATGCTGGATTCTTCGATGGGGTGTGTACCTATGTAGATGCTGTACAGCTTTGCTCCCTGCCGTATATATGTGACGCAGCGTGACAAGTTCATTTGTAGCGTTAGCGCTCGCAGCAGACTCCAAACTCGAAAGCAAATATTTACATTTATAAATCTATATAATATAGGATCTGTCTAGTCTAATGGCAATCGGTAATGCTCAGAGCGGGCGTCTCCGACACCGCCTTCTTGGGCCTGCACGGCCCACCAAGCTTGCCTCCTTATGTCTCCTACATCGGACACTGCCTTTCTGGGCCTGAAGCAGATGAAGCAAGTGTTTCAGAGACACGTTGCAAGTGTTTCAGAGCCATATTGCAAGCGTCTGTTCAAAATGTTTCATCTATTTCAGACTTATGTTGCAAGCATTTTTTATCTGAATGTTCATGTTTCACACCTATGTTGCAAGAGTATGTTTGAAATGTTGCAGACTTATGTTGCAAGCGTTTTTTATCTGAATGTTGCGCATGTTTCATACCTATGTTGCAAGAGTATGTTCGAAATGTTGCAGTTGTTAAGTGTTTTCATATTGCAATTTGCAAGTGTTTTATCTGGATGTTGCATATGTTTCACACAAATATTGCAATTGTATGTTTTAAATGTTTCATCTGCTTCAGTTGAATGTTGCATCCAAGTGTTTCACGTTTAAGAGGTAGAGAGTCCAGGGGGCCACAGCCTTGGCCCCGGGGAATGGGGCATGGCGAGCCGTGGGCTAGCGGTTGAGGCGCACAGTGCACCTAGGATTCTGTGGACGGGGCATGCTCGTCCTTGTGTTGGCTCTTGGGTCCCGCCCGCCCAGAGATAGAGGAGGGGGTCAGGGGGAAGGAGCAGTGGGCGTGTCGTTTCCCGCATGTGTGCGGGCGTCCGGACTCGCGGTGGCGGAGAGAGAGGGGGCAGGGGAAGGAGCGGCAGGCACGGCCTTTTTGCGGGCACATGTGACGAAGGTGGCGTGGGCGTCTAGACACACGCTTTTGTCCGGATGTCTAGGCACTAGTATCTCCCAATGGCAATTGGGTGTTTTGGCCTAGCCCAACACTTGACTCTTTGTCCATTGGATTGGTAGATCAGAGAGCCCATCTTATCTCCTACTTAACCCAAATCTTTGTCTCTCTCTTCTTTCTTCCGAGTTTAATTAATCTTATCATATACATATTAAAGGTTATTTGGAAAAGTGCCATAATAATTTTCTTAGTTCTGAAAACATCGCTATAATTCACCTATTCTAAAACATGCATTCTGTTCATACACATCTCTAGCCACCTTGGACCTAGCTGCAGAGGCATGTAGTTTCGTTACATATGGACCAAAATATCCTTCTTTCTTTAGCCTATTACCACACGTTGACCAGTCATTTGGCCATAGGGTGCGTGTGTGTTTTGACATGAAGGTCATCTTGCAAGGGTGAATGTGTATAATCTCATAGAGAAGAATGTTTGGTTACCCCCGTAAGCGAATATAGAAATACGTCATCATCATGCTAAGTGGATACGCCTAAATTGAGCTTTTCCACTCATGCAGACCCACCGCATGTTACTCTCGAGTGCATGGGTTAGAGCATTCCAACAGATTATTTGTCTCATTCCTAATACTAAAAAACTGCCATATAAGTAATTGACAGGGCTCCAACGGATTACTTATCCCATAACTTAATAATTCGTTGAGTTTGAGATTGACTTATCCCATAACTAATACCTAAATTTTTAAGTAACAACTCAAAATCCCTCATCTCTCCCTCTGTTGTAGGAGATGCATCTTTGCTCCCCTATCGGTGGTTTCCTGCGGCGGGAAGACATTTCACGACAGAGAAAACGACGAAGAGAGAGGAGGAAGAGGACCTTGACAGTAAATGGCGACTCATTGGCAGTGCTTGCCCACCTCCTTCTCGCTGAATCTAGATTGAGGCCAGCGTGGACCTCGGGACCCACAAGGCGGTCGTGGAGGAGCCATGGCTAGAGCTTCGGCAGGAGGCGCGGCCGGGGGTGCCTCAGGCGAAGGAGGGGGCGGCGCCGGCACTAGCAAGGAGCCCACCTCAACCGATGGCACAAGTGGTGGTGGTGTTGGGCACTTGACAAAGGAGAGATGTGGAGAAGAGAAGGAAAAAAAAGTAATGTCTTTAAATCGCTGACAGCAAAGGCCAATGGGTCAGGACGAATATAAGTAATGTGATTTTGTTAATATGTTGGAAGAGAGATAGAAACATCTTACTAATAGTAGGAGATTAGCTATACTGGAGATGCTCTTATTGCATCTGGTCATTGGGGCAACCATACATCTTCATATAGTTATTACATCCACGGATGAAAGATAACTATAACCACTCAACATGTTTCTTCTTGTCCATGACTTATGATGAATGTATAAGGAAGCAATCAAACACTCCTCGCTAGCGTTTTGGCAAGGCTCAGCATCGCACTTTTGCTCGGACAGATGTTGGGTCGGTGGGTCCTTTCGTCGAGCCTCTTACCCAATGATGCGCCTCTGCAGGTATGGGCGCACAGTCTTCTTCCTCCTTGGGTCTCCTTCCTCACCAGCCCAGCCCGCCCTCGCCTACCGCCTAGGCCATCGGTGATCTCACCGCCCGCCGCCCACCCCGCCGCTTCTTTCCCGCCCTTCCCTTATCCCAATCAGCCTTCACTCCGACTGCCCTGTTGTCGCTGCCTCGGACGCTGCCCTGGCCGTCGGTGACCTCACCACGCTCACCGCCCACCACCCGCGGCCACTACTATCGTTGCCCCATCCTTCCCTAACCTTGCACTTGTCACCCCCGCCACCGACTCCGCCCACTGGTTGTGTTCCACTGATCGCTCAACAATGCTCCTGCCTCCAAGCTCGCCACCAATCGTACCGTCAGGCCAGCCACCACCCTCAGGCCCTTCCCCTTCTAAGGCGCCGGGTAAAGTTTTCCAAACGGGCCAAGCCCGCTAGGCCAACACGAGCACGGTACGAATTGGCCCGGTACGAAAACGGCCCGGCTCGGCAGCTATCGTGCCCGTGCCAAGCACAGCACGGCCCCGTGCCCGTGCCTGGGCCACGATGCCAGCACGATGGCACGGCACGAGCATGGCCCACTTCAACGGCCGGCACGGGGGCGGCACGGCCTTGAGCCATTGGATGGAGCCCCCCCGCCTGCTGACCGTTGGATCTAGGGGTCGGGTGGGACGGCTTTATAAGCCAGTCGCCGCTCCTGGCTCCCCACCTTTCCAAACCCTAGCTCATTCCGTCCCCATTCCAGCCGTATGGCCGCATCGAGCTCTCCCATCGACTAAAACCCTAGCCGCTCTCCTCTCTTCTTCCCGTCGTCCGGTGGCTGGTTAAGGCGGTGGTTGCTAGCATGGGTACATGGCACGGCCTTCTACACCACTCTTCCTTCTCCCTGACCGTCGATGTAGCTTTCTTGTCGAGATCCACCACCGTTCGTCTTCGTCTCTGTCTCATCGCTCTCATCGACCTCGCCGGAGTCCGGCATCATTGGGGCTCCGCTCTAATGTGTTGAGGTACCAGGGTGTCGGGTCTTCGTGACATCGTCGTCGCCGTTGTCTCTTGTGTTCCGTCAAGAGAGGTGAGCCATAACGCTAGATCTGTTCGTTTTTGTTCTTCTTCTTGATTTCTTCATGATATTCTATTAACCCTAGGTGTTCTTGTTGTTCTTGGTTTTGGTTGGCGTTGAGGGACCGGAGGCCGGTGACGATGAGATGTCGGACGAGCAGGAGGACATCGGTCTCTCCATGACCATCAACGACGAGCTGCGCCTCTGCGGGATGACCGGAGACGATGAGGACGATGTCGCTGAGGATGCCGAGGAACACTTCGGTCGTTGTGCTGCCGAGGAACTCTACGGCCGTACTGCTGCTGACCCACTTCCCGTCAACAACACTGACACCCCCAACACCGGTGGCGCCGTCTAGGACAACGCCGCTGCTGATGTTGGCTCCAGCAGCAGGCCTAACCGCCCTTCTACCTCAGTACGCTGGGAAGATTTCGAGAAGCTCACCAAGAAGGTAAATGGTAAGGTTGTCAGGTATGGCGCTCGGTGTCTTCACTGTCGTAAGGAGTATTCTGCGTACTCTAGATTTGGAACTGGCCACCTTCTTTGTCATCAAGACTCTTGCCCTAAGAAGCGTGAGAAATGTCGCATGGCTCAGTCCCACATTACTTTCAATAAGGACGGTACTATGTGTAATTGGGAGTATTCGGCTGATGTTGCTCGTGTTCAGCTTGTTCGTTTGCTTGCTAGGTTAGATCTTCCCCTCTGTAACACCCCTGGTGTTGGTCTTGCCTAATTGCACTTGCATTTCATGATCATGAGCATCATTCATCCATTCATGAGCATATATCACTTGAAACATGTGAAACATGATCATGAAACAAGAGTATCATTTCAAGTGTTTTTCATCATTTCAGTACCTTTAGTGCTTGATTATTGTATGACCAATGTGTGGTATAGCTAAATATATTGTTAAACATCTTAGCTATGCTTAGAAAGTCATTAGGAACAATGTTCATGTTGATCATTTTGCCCAATTAAGATTTCAAATCATGGTTTGACTTGTTTTGACCCTAGGACTTTTTGGTTTGACTGTTCAAAAAGTACCACTTAGAATGTTTGCATGTCGGAGCAACCTAAAACGAAGTTGTAGCAAATTACATAAGGAACAAAAGTTATTTTGTGACCAAGTCATGAAATTGTGCACAACATGCTCTAAATGGTCCCACAAGTCAGAAATTGGGTTGGGTTCAACACTTAGAAATTTCTAAGTATAAACTCCAATTTTCAGTTTCTTGAACATGACTTTGACATGATTTTACTCTCTGTCCTTTGCGAATTAGACAGTGATCTCTAAATGAGTTTTGTAGCTGGGATGTAGGTGTACAACTTTCGTTTTGATTTCTTTCGCTATCGATCAACGGATTAGGAGTTAGAGCATCATCATTTGGCGCTGTCAG